CATGGAAATAAAATAGGTTTAGTGCCAAAATATTAGCCAAAACTATTATTTTTATTTATATGTTTACGCAATGAAATGTCATATTCCATATCTAATGAGAGGGTGTGTGGCTTTATGTTTTTGTTTAGGGTTAATTCGACCCAATCAAGATTGGTATATTGTCTTTAAATCGTTGGATTATGTATACACGTGAAATTCAATTTTTTTTTAGGTAATCTTTGCTTATCTAATTTCTATTTTGATGTTTGCCGAGTTTACTATGACCTCCTATTTTTTATAAATGTCATTTTAGTTTTATCAATAATTAACCAAATAAATAACATTTTGGATCTTGTGTACATATTTTTCCATTATTACTTAATAAATACACTACGTCTTTTCATATTAACTCTTCATCTTTTCTCAAAACATTCACCTCTATCCTCATTAATGAGAGTTATTATTGGCAAAAAAAATATTCTTAATTACTGTGCAACTTCTCAAAACGACATTTATTAGAAAAAAAAAAAGAGAGAGTATCATTGTTTATCGTTTCTTGTGCATACAATTTTAAGAATAATATAAGAAACAACGTAAAAAATAAATTTACGAGTTTACTCGTTTAAAAAAAATACAACATGATGAATATTTGAATGTAACAATACAAATTCTAACTGATAAAGTATGATAAATGTCAGATCAAAGCCACTCAGACTCAACAAATTTTGCCCCATTAATAATTACAACAACTAATAGTATCATTTCTTGTGCAAAAACCAATTTGTAAATCGTGTGTTAGAAGAATAAATACTGCCTCATATTCTTTTTAAATATCATTTTGATTTTATCGATCATTAATCAAATAAATAACGTTTTGAATTTTTTGTACATATTTTTTTATTATTACCCCAATTTAGTTAATAAACACACTACTCTTTTTTATTAAAAGGGTTATTATTGATAAAAAAATTTAATTATTGTATAACTTCTCAAAACGACTCATATTATGAAAAAAAGGGAGTCCTGTTTTACAACTTGGGAGAGTACCGTTATATTAATATGTAGTATAA